GGAGGCTTGAGAACCCCCTGGTGCATGTGTGTGCATGCCCAAAACCCCAGGAGGGGAGTGGAGAAGGGATTGTGATACGCCCATCCTCCTAGGGGGTGATTTCTTACTTTCCCTCTCATTGTCTCTCTCTGTCTCTTTCCTCTCAGGTGAGTGCCCACACCCTACAGCAAAAACCCTTTTTAAAAAATTATAAAGCAATTAGCCTTTAAATTCACCAAGAAATGAAAGTTGTGATCATTGATGCAGTTTGATTTTCCCAGCTAGATAGTAGACGGGAGAAAGCACTATCATGATTGGAATTGTTAAAACTTATCTTTTCTATTATAACTGGTAGAATTCATGCTTGGAAGAACTTACTTTAGACATTCAGTTTATGGATAGAGAAAATGAACGCCCACAAATTTAAATTACTTTCTCAAGGTCTCGTGACTCTGCTAGAGTCACATTTGTAAGGCCGTAAGACCTGGCGGATGCCTTCCTCATTTCTCTTATATTCGTAACAGCAGACTCTTTGAAGAGGTGGGGATTTGAGTGCAAGCTTTTTAACACCTATCCACTGGAGCTCTGAAGATTTTTGATTCTGAACTTTAACACCCGTGTTCTTTCATTCTTTGTGAATACGAGTTGTCAACCTGTTTGCTTTGTAGGAGTGTAGAAAAACACAGGACTTCACCGTTAGTCTTCTTCCATATGGTTTATCATAGCAGACCCGTGGTGCGAGGACGATGGCTTTATCTCCATCTTTGTAAGCTCTTGTTTGTTGCTTTGGGATAAACTAAAGGATGGTTAGGAAAGGAGCGGAGGGGAGATGATGATGGCTTTATCTTTATCTTTGTAAACTCTCCTTTGTTTCTTTCTTTTCTTTCTTTCTTTTTCCTTTTTCTTTTTTTTTAGATGTTTTTGTTATAAGGCGCGTGCACTCACCAGAAAGACAGAGAGAGACAGAAAGACAAAAAGTGAGAAATCACACCCCCGGGGTAGATGACCACACTGCAATCCCTTCTCCTCCATTCCCCTTGGCATACATGCACACACGCCTGGCATGAGTTTAAGCCACCGGGTCCGAGATTCGAACTGTGGTCTACTCCATGGGAGTCCGCAGCATAGCCATTATGCCAACTGCTGACCCCAACTCTCCTTCATTTCTAAAGGATGATTAGGGAAGGAGTGAAGGGTTGGGAGCTGACAGCCATGGTTGTGGGGTTAGTAGGAATGGAGCTAGTGGCAAACCTTACGTGGAAGGGTCAGGATCGAGTTCCCTGGGTGACTAGGACCTTCCCAGAGCTGGGATGGACCTGTGTTAGGGACCTCGTCACCTCAGGCTGCAGCACTGAGCTATGGCAGACGTGCTGCGTGGACCCTGCATGTGGCAAGTACTGACCGCGTTGTGTGTCCCATGTGTCTCTCACACACTCCTCCCCTTATTCCCCATAAAACCCTCATGTTCTTTTCTTTTTAAGAATTATTTTATTTAATGTTATTTATTTATTTATTCAAATTTGACCAGAGATGGACAGAGAGAGAGAAGGAGAGTGAGAAAGCAAGCGGCCAGTCCACGATGTGAACCGTGGCCGGCCATGCGTGAGTCCAGCACCCTTAACCACCATGCCACTTGCCAGTCCTAAAATCCTCGTATTCTTTAAGCTAGAAAAAAAGCACTTGAAAACGCATTTTCACTGAGATGTGATGACTACATCTAACATAAGCCTCGGAGACAGCATGTGCATGTTAAGAGAGCCTTAACAGAGGGTTTGCAGTGGTGGTTACGATGATGGCCACAGTGAAGTGACAGCATGTCCCCACTGCAGTCTCGGTTCCCAGGACCCTCTAGGCCGCCCTGCACTACCAAAGCAGCGCTTTCCAGGGGCTTGAGGGAGGAATTCTGGATTTTCTGTTCTGGTGAGGCTGCAGATGCCTGGGTACATCCTCACTCATGTTTTAGCTTCCTGGCTGTAAATGGGAGTAAAAATTACCGAATAAATACACAGTGCTTGCGCTCTGGGCCCTTGGATCATGCCACAAGCAGGAAGGGACGGCTGTCCTGGAAGGAAGGTGGGTGATGGGGTGGGGGCTGCTCTGCTTAATGTGTCGCCTCGCCCGTGGGCTCCTAGCTGGGTGAAGGCAGGGACACCAGGCTGCAGGGGCTGCTGCTTTTCAGGACTTCACATGTGTCAGGTCACCTTTCATCAGCCTGCAGTTGTCGTCATGTTTTAGGGGACGTTTTTAAATGATTCCCCTTCATGTTGCATGTGGGCATTCAGATTTTTCCAGCACCATTTGTTGAAAAGCCTGTGCATTTTCTCATGGAATACTTTTGGTGAATTTCTCATAGGTTGTTTTTCAGAGCTTAAACATGAGGCATTTTAAAAAGTTTACACACATTTATGTCGAGAGAGTAGAGAAAGAGAGATGAGTGCTCTCCAAGGCTCTCACTCTGCAACGCCCCCTCCCCAGCCTGCTGTCTGTCTGAGCCTGGACCCTAGCCCGGATCCTCAACGTGGCTTCCGGCTTTGCTGAGCAGTGTGCTGCCCGTGTTCCACCATGGTTGGGCCAGACCTGGCATTCCT